TGTCATGCTGGAATACCCATCCATGACCCATTTTCAATGCCCTGGCTGAGGGAAGGAGGTTCTCACCCAAGATTTGACGGTACATGGCCCCATCCATCGTCCCTTTGATGCGGTGAAGTTGTCCTGTCCCCTTAGCAGAAAAACACCCCCAAAACATAATGTTTCCACCTCCATGTTTGACGGTGGGGATGGTGTTCTTGGGGTCATAGGCAGCATTCCTCCTCCAAACACGGCGAGTTGAGTTGATGCCAAAGAGCTCGATTTTGGTCTCATCTGACCACAACACTTTCACCCAGTTCTCCTCTGAATCATTCAGATGTTCATTGGCAAACTTCAGACGGCCCTGTATATGTGCTTTCTTGAGCAGGGGGACCTTGCGGGCGCTGCAGGATTTCAGTCCTTCATGGCGTAGTGTGTTACCAATTGTTTTCTTGGTGACTATGGTCCCAGCTGCCATAGTTACCAAGACTATGAGATCATTAACAAGATCCTCCAGTGTAGTTCTGGGCTGATTCCTCACCGTTCTCATGATCATTGCAACTCCACGAGGTGAGATCTTGTATGGAGCCCCAGGCCGAGGGAGATTGACAGTTCTTTTGTGTTTCTTCCATTTGCGAATAATCGCACCAACTGTTGTCACCTTCTCACCAAGCTGCTTGGCGATAGTCTTGTAGCCCATTCCAGCCTTGTGTAGGTCTACAATCTTGTCCCTGACATCCTTGGAGAGCTCTTTGGTATTGGCCATGGTGGAGAGTTTGGAATCTGATTTGATTGATTGCTTCTGTGGACAGGTGTCTTTTTATACAGGTAACAAACTGAGATTAGGAGCACTCCCTTTAAGAGTGTGCTCCTAATCTCAGCTCATTACCTGTATAAAAGACACCTGGGAGCCAGAAATCTTTCTGATTGAGAGGGGGTCAAATACTTATTTCCCTCAATAATAAGCAAATCAATTTATAACATTTTTGACATACGTTTTCTGGATTTTTTTGTTTTTATTCTGTCTCTCACTGTTCAAATAAACCTACAATTAAAAAATTATAGACTGATCATGTCTTTGTCAGTGGGCAAACGTACAAAATCAGCAGGGGATCAAATACTTTTTGTCCTCACTGTACATGAATTATGATACCACAAACAAACTCCCCCAAAGGGTATAAGTAAGTGTAATTAGAAATGCATATGAATTTTTACTGCACAGGAAAACTGCACTTTTAAAGAAGACGAAGCAAATGTTTTGAATATGTGACCCACCACCTGGATTCGGTCCTATGTAGCAACATTTTAAATTGTGTTTTTTACACTGGATAAAAGTAGAGGCAGAGCTAGAAAATGGTATATCATACACTGCAATTGAGGAACAATGGGAAAGTAATTCTGCTTGATAAACTTGTAACCCCACCTTTGAGAAAATGGCCCTTGAATGTTTTGGTAATCCTACTGGAGAGCTCTTATCCAGAGCGACTTACAGGAGCAATTAGGGTTAAGTGCCTTGCTCAAGGGCACATCGACAGATTTTTCACCTAGTCGGCTCGGGGATTAGAACCAGTGACCTTTCGGTTACTGGCACAACGCTCTTAACCACTAAGCTACCTGCCGCCCTCTTCTTTGTCTATACCCATTCAGCATCGTTCACACCCTCTTAAGCATTAGCCTCACCCATCTCTTCAAATCAAATCAAATTGGTCACATGCGCCGAATACAACAGGTGCAGACATTACAGTGAAATGCTTACTTACAGCCCTTAACCAACAGTGCATTAGCAGAGAGAACAGTCTATGACTAGGGTGGCTGGAGTCTTTGACAATTTTGAGGGCCTTCCTCTGACACCGCCTGGTATAGAGGTCCTGGATGGCAGGAAGCTTTGCCCCAGTGATGTACTGGGCCGTACGCACTACCCTCTGTAGTGCCTTGCGGTCGGAGGCCAAGCAGTTGCCATACCAGGCGGTGATGCAACCAGTCAGGATGCTCTCGATGGTGCAGCTGTATAATTTTTTGAGGATCTGAGGACCCATGCCAAATCTTTAAGGATTCACATGCGAGGCCATTTGCTAAACAGAGTGAGTACATTTACATTTTAGTCATTTAGCAGACGCTCTTATCCAGAGCGACTTACAGTTAGTGAATACATATTATTATTTTATTTTTTTATACTGGCCCCCCGTGGGAATCGAACCCACAACCCTGGCGTTGCAAACACCATGCTCTATCAACTGAGCTACATCCCTGCCGGCCATTCCCTCCCCTACCCTGGATGACGCTGGGCCAATTGTGCGCCGCCCATGAGTCTCCCGGTCGCGGCCGGCTGCGACAGAGCCTGGATTCGAACCAGGATCTCTAGTGGCACAGTTAGCACTGCGATGCAGTGCCTTAGACCACTGCGCCACTCAGGATCTCAAGTAGTGTAGTAAACAACCAACAATTTCTAGACTAAAAGTGGTAAAAGTAGTAGCCTACTCCAGGTAAAAATACACGATCTATTCCTTTGCCTATATCCTAATATGACTTTGGTGCAGGTCATGTTGTTCTTCACATTAACATCTCTGGTAAACACACACTATATCAAATAAAATCTAAGTTTGTCACATGCACAGGATACAGAAGGTGTAAACGGTACAGTGAAATGGTTACTTGCATAGTAGCAATATCAAAAAGCCGAAAGTGTCCAGATTTTTTACAAGGACATTTAATCTTAGTAGAAATTCCCTGTCTTAGGTCAGTTAGGATCACCACTTTATTTTAAGAATGTGAAATGTCAGAATAATAATAGAGAGAATGATTTATTTCAGCTTTTATTTCTTTCATCACATTCCCAGTGGGTCAGAAGTTTACAGACACTCAATTAGTATTTGGTAGCATTGCCTTTCAATTGTTTAACTTGGGTCAAATGCTTCGGGTAATCTTCCACAAGCTTCCCACAATAAGTTGGGTGAATTTTGGCCCATTCCTCCTGACAGAGCTGGTGTAACTGAGTCAGGTTTGTAGGCCTCCTTGCTCGCACACGCTTTTTCAGTTCTGCCCACACATTTTCTATAGGATTGAGGTCAGGGCTTTGTGATGGCCACTCCAATACCTTGACTTTGTTGTCCTTAAGCCATTTTTCCACAACTTTGGAAGTATGCTTGGGGTCATTGTCCATTTGGAAGACCCATTTGCTACCAAACTTTAACTTCCTGACTGATGTCTTGAAATGTTGCTTCAATATATCCACATAATTTTCCTTCCTCATGATGCCATCTATTTTGTGAAGTGCACCAGTCCCTCCTGCAGCAAAGCACCCCCACAGCATGATGTTGCCACCCCCGTGCTTCACGGTTGGGATGGTGTTCTTTGGCTTGCAAGCTTACCCCTTTTTCCTCCAAACATAACGATGGTCATTATGGCCAAATAGTTATATTTTTGTTTCATCAGACCAGAGGACATTTCTCCAAAAAGTACGATCTTTGTCCCCATGTGCAGTTGCAAACCGTAGTCTGGCTTTTTTATGGCGGTTTTGGAGCAGTGGCTCTTCCTTGCTGAGCGGCCTTTCAGGTTATGTCGATATAGGACTTGTTTTACTGTGGATATAGATACTTTTGTACCTGTTTCCTCCAGCATCTTCACAAGGTTCTTTGCTGTTGTTCTGGGATTGATTTGCACTTTTTGCACCAAAGTACGTTCATCTCTAGGAGACAGAATGCGTCTCCTTCCTGAGTGGTATGACGGCTGCGTGGTCCCATGGTGTTTATACTTGCGTACTATTGTTTGTACAGATGAACGTGGTACCTTCAGGCGTTTGGAAATTGCTCACAAGGATGAACCAGACTTGTGGAGGTCTACAGTTTTTTTTCTGAGGTCTTGGCTGATTTCTTTTGATTTTCCCATGAAGTCAAGCAAAGAGGCACTGAGTTTGAAGGTAGGCCTTGAAATACATCCACAGGTACACCTGTTTAAGGACACAATCAACTTAGTGTATGTAAACTTCAGACCCACTGGAATTGTGATACAGTGAATTATATGTGAAATAATCTGTCTGTTAATAATTATTGGAAAAAGTACGTGTGTCATGCACAAAGTAGATGTGCTAACCGTCTTGCCAAAAGTATAGTTTTTTAACAAGAAATTTGTGGAGTGGTTGAAAAACGAGTTTTAATGACTCCAACCTAAGTGTATGTAAACTAACGACTTCTACTGTATCTAGCTAGCTAGCTAGATACGAATAATTCAAATAATATTTCTATACACATTATACACATAACGTTAGCTAGCGAGCCAGCAAGCTAACGTTCGCTAGCTACAGTAGCTAACGGTACGCTTTAACTTGCAATGAAAACGACTTTCTGACTAAATTAGAAACGTATAATATCTGAAAATTTAGCTAGACTCTTACCCGTATACATGGATGAACGCTTCACGGCAGACTGGAACCATTTAACTCCATTTTGTTTGTAGCTACATTTTGTTTGGTCAGCGTTGTGTCAAGTCACTCCGGTTCACACTGATCGTGGCGTGTGCAGAAAGTAGTCCATCACAACTATCTTTCAAAAAAGCCGCTGTAGAAAGGATTACATACTGAGCAGCTCACGTTATAGACAGAAGTATGCTACATGGCAGACCAATCCAAACTCATCTCCTGGACACATCTCTCGGCATGTCCATCCCATATATTATCTTTGCCAATCATGGCTAGCTGGAAGGTTCCTGGCTTTTTCTGTGGCTAAACCAACTAGGCTCGTAATTTAACAATTGTATTCGTATTTACAGATGGATTACAAGTTTGTTATTAAGGCACATGAAAGTTCACATGTTCCAGAAGGCATTTCTGCCAAAAAACGCATTTTTGATTTTTTTAAAAAGATGTTCAAATGCATCTCCTGTGAAGTAGTGACGTTCGACATACGCCTAGCTTCCTGAAATGGGTCACATATTAAAGTCAAGAGTTTTCTTTGATTGTTTCTGATTTCCTTCAATGTGTGTTTCTTGTAGTTTGCGGAGACATCCATGGCCAGTTCTTTGACCTGATGAAGCTGTTTGAAGTAGGAGGGTCACCAGCTAGCACACGCTATCTTTTCTTGGGCGACTACGTCGACAGAGGATATTTCAGTATCGAAGTAAGTGTTTCACCTGTTCTAAGAACATTAAGTTAAAGAAGGAAGTGGTTGATGCTTTTGCATTTGTACATCTGAAACTACTGTTGGTTGGTCTCTAAAAATATTCTAATTCATTACCAATCTCTTTGTTATTCCCTTCCAGTGTGTGCTGTACTTGTGGGCCTTAAAGATCCTATATCCCAAAACACTATTTTTGCTTCGTGGGAACCACGAATGTAGACATTTAACAGAATATTTCACATTTAAGCAGGAATGTAAGTATGGTTTGAGTTTTTCTTTCAAAAGCATTTTACATTCAACCCAACACACAGAATAGTGCTTATTGGCATAGCTCTCTCCTTGATATGTATTTACATATCTCAGACTCTGAGCCCGAATACAACAGCAATAGTTCTAACTAAAATACCAAGGGCAGAGTGAAATTATGCTGGAGTTTTTCATGTCCTTTGGAGGTTTTCTGACACATTTTAAAGACTTTCCAACCCATGAACACTGCCCTAGTGTGTAAAAACTAGGGGTGTTTGGCTTGGCAACACTCAGTCCCTGCCCTATTTCCACCCTAACAGGTAGAATTAAGTATTCGGAGCGGGTGTACGATGCGTGTATGGACGCCTTCGACTGCCTTCCCCTGGCCGCCCTTATGAACCAGCAGTTCCTGTGTGTACACGGAGGACTGTCCCCAGAAATCACAAACCTTGACGACATCAGGAAAGTACGTGTCCACCCAAACAACGTTCCCTGCATGACAATGCCATATGCTTGTAATTTGAGCTGACGTTGGTACATTTTGGTACATTTGACATAATCGCTACACTATCATTCAGAATTATCTCCTATTTTACTGTTGATAATGTATTCAATTCATGGATACATTGGATATTGATATTGTACTGTTTCTGTGCTGTATGAATATATTACATGTATGGTTTTAACGAGTCATGTCCAGGTTTCATTAAAAGTGTAATGGGTGTTCAGTATAAGTAGGATAATCAATTTTCTCTTGTAACAAACATTCAGGTGGATTTTATTCTAATAGAATGTATCATGTGAAAGGTACTTAAATTATGATACAGATAAGTTTACACAGAGTGTCACGTTCGTTCATGAACAGGACGGACCAAGGCGCAGCGTGATATGCGTACATGTTTATTAAATATTAAACAAAACGAAACGAAACGTGAAGTCCAAGGCAGCGCAACACAACATACCTTAACACGGAACAAGATCCCACAACCCACTAGTGCCAATAGGCTACCTAAGTATGGTCCCCAATCAGAGACAACGAGCGACAGCTGCCTCTGATTGGGAACCACACCGGCCAACATAGATCTAGACGATCTAGATCTAAACCTAGAAAATACAACATAGAACATACCACACAGAAAATACACACCCTGACTCAACAAATACGAGTCCCCAGAGTCAGGGCGTGACACCGAGCTTTGTGCAAACCATTTCATTTCTCCTTTTTACTGTTGAAGAAAATTAAGACTTTACAATTTCCCTTAAGATATTTCCTTTGGAAATATTGACCTTGATATTACAACATGGACTACCTCTCTCTCAATTCGATCTCAAACGATGCCCCAAGCTAACAGGATAGTTACATTCGGGCAGAGTCTGTACCTCTCTGATTAAAAATGTTGAAGAGTCGGATCCTGCCTTCTCTCAAATTCAATAACGACAATTGGATTTTGTGGCTGCAATCAGAGGGTCTCTGTAATCCAATCTGCACTATTGAAGTGTCCATTATGCTACAGTCTATACTTTCTCTGGAGAAATCGATATGGTTTCTCTGAATGACTGTCATTAGCTTTTGGCTGATCACATCAATTAGTACTTTTTCATCCCATTTCTGATGAGGAAGTATTAGTATGGTCAAGATTGAAAATACCTATTCATGTTTCCTACTCATAATAGGCACAAATTGTCATCCAGTCCACATGTTGTGGGTCTCTTTCATTCAAACATGATGTACTGTTGTAAGACAGAGACCCTACCAACAGTTTTGATTTTATCCACAGTTCAATGTAGCAAGACTAATTGTCAAATCAAGATCCGTCTCAAGTCCTTTACAATGACAAAAACAAACCCTTTTCCATAGGTATCACTTCACCAACACCAACCCATTGAGGAAGCTAAACTGACTGAGTTTCCTCATAGATTAGACATTTCCCTGACTGCTTGACATTGTCTTTCCCTGTCTATCCTAACTCTGTGTACCTCTCTCTTTGCAGCTAGACAGATTCAAAGAGCCCCCTGCGTACGGGCCCATGTGTGACCTGCTGTGGTCGGACCCCCTGGAAGACTTTGGGAATGAGAAGAGCCAAGAGCACTTCACACACAACACAGTGAGAGGCTGCTCCTACTTCTACAGGTGGGCCATCAACAGCATCACCTCCTTCACAAGCTGCGTAGTGTGAAAAATGCTGTGAATGTATTCATTTATTCATGTGCACTTTACAGTGCACATTATTAAGGTTGCACTATGTAGAAATCGCTCCACCATTTCCTGGTTGCTAGAATTCTAGTAGTTCGCCTAATTTCAGTTTATGTGACAAAACAAGCAACTATAGTGTAGAGAATCATTGTACCATCTGAAACGCTGTGAAATATATTTTCCATAACCAAAAATATTGTATTTTCAGCTGTTTGAAGCTGGTGTATAAAACCGAAAGTAAAAGTCGCAAAAACGAAAGTTAAGACCGGGAAGCATAGAAATAGCACATATAGAACAGATCTACTGCTTCTTAAACTTGCTTTCAATGCGAATGACAGATCTATGTGAATTTGTTCAGGCCGCCCAAAAAGTTACATATTGCAACTTTAAGAATGTTGTTTTCACGTCAGTGTAGAAATGCTGGTGGAAGTGTGTGTGTGTGTGTTTAGCCATATCCTGCTTTGTTACTATTTACATTTACATTTACATTTAAGTCATTTAGCAGACACTCTTATCCAGAGTGACTTGGATGTATCATACAATGGACTTGACATTGATCTTAGTGCAACACCTCTGGGCTCTACAGTAATATAACCATCCAAATAGAACAGAATACTGGTATCATTGAAGCATCACTGAACCTTCCTTTGCCAAATCCTTCCAATCCAAGTTATTCTGCCAAATGTTCATTTTCATTCAGTCCCCTTCCAACCCCCTCAGTCTTTTTTCTATTGTCTGTATGTACAAATACACACTTTGTGTGGATATGACAGTAACCGTATAACCTGCATTTGTCATCATCCCAGAGAAACTGGCTTCTCTCTTATTACTCTGTCGCAAGTGTTTATGTAACACACATATTAACTCCCCTTAAATAGACCCCAGTCGCAGGCAAAGCAAACAAAGGAAATGCTGGAAGCACGGAGTGAGCTCACTCTGTCCTGAATGTAATGAACAGGGCCACAGTCTTCTCCAAATGTGTATTTTAGTGCTCTAGTGTCCAGTCATTACAGGTGGATAAACGCTCTTTGGCCCTGGCATTCTAGTGGCAAAGCCAGCCTGAAGCAGCCCAAGCAATCAAATGTTGTGTCTCTTTGGGTATGCTACACACTGAGTTGCTGAAATGTTTTTTTGAACATTCTTTATTATTGCATTATATTTTGTATCATGGTCAAAGGGAATTTGCACATTTTTAAAGGTCCTGTGTTCATTTCACACTTATGCTAAACTAAGTGACTAGAGTTAGCGAGTCCAAAGAAAGCCTCAAAGGTGCATGAGTGCATTCTAACACCCAAAGAGCACTATCCAGAATAGACCTTGAGCTTTTGGACGGACATTTTCCAGTTTGTATATTGATATCATTTGAAAAGAGACTGCATATCATCTTTGGTAGAGACTTTACCCATAATACAGGCCTATTTTAAAGTCCTCCTATTTGAGGAGTATACCAGCACAATATTTGCTCTTTGGACCCCAGGAAGACTTGTGGTCTCTAAGGTGTCAGAGAAAGGTGATTCAATAAAGAATAAAGAATGTACACTGGGTGTACAAAACATTTGACTGACTGACCAGGTGAATCCAGGTGAAATATATAATCCCTTATTGATATCACTTGTTAAATCCACTTCAATCAGTGTAGATGTAGGGGAGGAGACAGGTTAAAGAAGGATTTTTAAGTCTTGAGACGATTGAGACATGGATTGTGGATGTGTGCCATTCAGAGGGTGAATGGGCAAGACAAGAGATTTAAGTGCCTTTAAACGGGGTATGGTAGTAGGTGCCAGGCGCACCGGTTTGTGTCAAGAACTACAACGCTGCTGGGTTTTTCATGGTCAACAGTTTCCCGTGTGTATCAGGAATGGTCCACCACCTGAAGGACATCCAGCCAACTTGACACAACTGTGGGAAGCATTGGAGTCAACATGGAACGCTTTCGACACCTTGTAGAGTTCATGCCCCGACAAATTGAGGCTGTTCTGAGGGCATTCAAAATGTTATTTAGGTCAGGGCTGTTGAGTCAGCTGTACTTAGATTTGTAGATGAACCATTTTGCTGTAAATGGTCTCGCTTGACTATCTGCTAGACAACACATGCCCTCTCAGGGAGAGAAATGTCACCCCTGTCACTTGAGAGAGGGTAAGAGAGCCGTGTTTACGCTCTCAGGTTCTGCCAGTGATATTTCTATGGTATGCCCCTACCATCGCAGAGATATCTCTGATATCTGAGTGACAGGGATCAAGTATACTACGTCGAGTAGTATCGACTATCGACAGAGAGACAGTGATTTGACGGTGATAGGCCCTGTTCGAATACCCTTAATGTATCTTTCGTTCCTCTCTTCCTTGAAGTAATCACTAATCAGACATTGCTAGATTGGTTTTAGCAAACTTGCCATTGCTTTCAACAGTTATGGCATGTCAGATCAGTGATTACTTCAGGGAAGCGAGGAATAAAGGATGCATTTTAAGAGTATATGAACAGAGCCCTAGTCAATTGCTGTTGTAGTATAAACAGCATTTCAAACAGGATGGTACAGTAAAACTCTGTTCTAGGTTAGCTGTTTCCTCCTGAACCTCTATCCCAACAGCCCCCTGTGTCTTCTTGGCTTGGCTTACATTCCTCTGTGGCCTTTGGGCTACATTCCAAGTGGCACTCTATTCCCTACATAGTGCACTACTTTTGGTCAGGAGTAGTGCACTGTGTAGGGAATAGAGTGCCATTTTGGACATAGCCTTGTTGTTTTTCCCTGTGTCGTCGGTTGGATCTGCCTGCAGGGCTCATTATAATTGGCAGCATACTGGCATGCTGTGTTTATGGGCCAGCTTCAAGCTCCAGACTGAAATGAGAACAATTCACCAATCTGAGAGAAAAGACTCCGTTTGGTGCCTTTTCCTGGCTTCTGGGAACTGTGTCTTACCCCAGCACCATAGGCCCCCTCATAACTGTTTTACAGACTACTGAAGCATGAAATTGCACATGAATACAGGTCCCATCTTTTCAAGCCTAGCAGACACTGTGCTGTGTGGTCAACTGTTTTTGAGTAGCCTAAACAGGGAATTTCATGGTATTTTAGATGCTTTATGAAAATAGCCCTGGAATGGATTTTGGCTGTTGAAATGATGCACAGAGAATGCTGTCAGATTTGAAGTAGACGGGATGTGCATTTGTTTGTTTATTGTCAGGGACAAACTGTTGGATGGATCTCATCTGTGCTCCATCCCAGAACAGATGGCAAATGCTTTCAGCACAAAATGTATTTAGTCTTCTGAGCAATACCTACAGTAACAACAGCATCTGCTGAACAGTGACAGGTGCATGAAAATAAATAAATAATAATAATAATGATTTAAGATGGATATTAGATACTTTTGATTTTCCTCGAAGCAATGCTATTACACCATAAAGAAACCACAAACACTTTGGTTATGTTCGTCTGTCAGTTGTACCTAGACCTATTTCTAGCTGTAAGTCCACCTTGAGTGACAAAGCAAAGCAAGCCCCGCAGCTGAGAAGCCTGAAGTGTAAATGTGCCCCTCAAAGCAGATCCTCTTACCTGTCTAACAAGGAAATGCAAATTGAGACATATTTGTTTACTTTTAGTCAAGTGAGAGGATACTGTACCTGTTCTCTTGTCTACTTTCTATTCTGGATATTAACTGGAGGAGGAGAACAATGGATGTTACGAGTTGGTCCCGAAGTGCAAGGCCATCTACCTATCGCACAAAGCAGTGAGCTACCCTTTAGCTCCAAAAGCTTTCACCAATGGAGACCCACATTGATTAAAGAGCACAACCATTGTTAGATTAATTAGCAATATCCAGAAACAAACACTTGAGTTTAGCCTTCAGCCCTGCACTTAATTATCAAACTCCCACATGCGTCACATTATTTCCAAATGACAGCTGAAGTGTCGTTTTGACAATGTGAAAATGGTTGCTTGTTGTGACCTAGAATTAAATAAACATGAGTAGGTTCCACAGTGAGTTTGGTTCTTTGAACAATTTGTACACAGTCTGAGGATATTGCATATTTAACCTTGGATGTCCTTTCATGTTTTATCAGGTTCATTGAATAGCCTTCTAAAGTTGTTGTGGTCAGGAGTTATGAAAGGATTTTGACCTATTGTGTTTCCCCAAGGTCTGTAAGTTCATGTGCACTCACTTACTAAATGCTCCTTCTCCAGGAGTTGATTTAGGAATGTTTTCAACGTAACTGGCTTTAAGGGGTTTGTTGGCTGGTTGGCTAGTGGGACTTGGGCCTACCTCACTGAGTGCAAAATAACATTTTGGGTTCTTTGGGAATGAAAGGTTATGGCATGGAAAATCCAGAAACTTTACTAAACTATAATTGCTGGCAGTTTATTTTGGCCACCTCAATCTCAGACTGATCAGAGCCGCATGAGTATGCAAAAGCTACACGCGCACACACACACTGAATACTTATAGAAACCACAAGGCTGGATCCTTTGTTTGCCCTTTCCGATGGTTACATGATGAAGATACCTGCTATTAAAATACATTTGAATGAATATCTGTTTTAAGTGTCAACCCACTGGGCACACACTGGTTGAATCAACGTTGTTTCCACATCATTTTAATGACATTACGTTGAACCAACGTGGAATAGAAGTTGATTTGATGTCTGTGCCCAGTGGGAAAGAAATCTAACCACTGCCTTTTGATCAAATTAGACCCGTTAATCAAGCATGTGTCATCTTGTCTTTCAACAGCTACCCCGCTGTCTGCGACTTTCTACAACACAATAACTTATTATCGGTCATTCGAGCCCATGAAGCACAGGACGCTGGGTAAGTGCCCTCTTTTTGCCCACGGCTAACTGCTACAGCCATTCACCTTGGACAACTATGTCGCTCGAGCATACCCAGGAAACATTTGAACCTGTGCTTGCAAAGAAATGGTGTTGAATTCAACGTTATTGAGTTTGTACCATGACACCCTTGGTAGCAAGCATGTCAAAATGTTGGAGAAAACGGCTGATGAGGCAGAGGATCCGCCTCAAACTGACAGAAGGCGTGTCACCCTGTTACTGCTCATTCACGCAGACTGTCTGGCCCACTCAAAGAGCAAAAACAGCTTGACGTACTAGTCAGCCTTAGGCACAGCTCTAGGATCAGATAACCCTGCCCAAATCGATGTCATTGTTCCTCAGGCCATCGTGGACTTCATTTACATGCATACGATAATAATGTGTTACATTCACTGTACATAATCTAGCAGACGCTTTTATCCCGAACAGTTATGCGTGCTTACATTTTACATACAGGTGGTCCTGGGAATCGAACCCACTATCCTGGCATTGCAAGCGCCATGCTCTACCAACTGAGCTACAGAGGACCACACTGTGCTGCAGAGGACCACAAGTACAGTATTAGGTAGTGTTCTTGTAATGGTGATATTAATGATGATGCTGTCTCTCCATCTAGGTACCGCATGTACAGGAAGAGCCAGACGACAGGGTTTCCTTCTCTCATCACCATCTTCTCAGCACCCAACTACCTAGACGTCTACAACAACAAAGGCAAGCACAGAGTGAACCGTACTCATTACCTCATTCATTCGTTCGTTTATTTGTTATGGATCATGCACCACTTGCAAGTGGAGGCTGGTGGGAGGGACTATAAGAGGACGGGCTCATTGTAATGGCTGGAAAGGAATCAATGGAACGGAGTCAAACATGTGGTTTCCATATGTTTGATGTGTTTAATACCGTTCCGTTTATAACATTCCAGCCATTACAATGAGCCCGTCCTCCTATAGCTTCTCCCACCAGCCTCCTCTGTTGTATGCTGCCCTAGAGTTAGCCTCGGACGGTCAGGCTTCGCTCAGTCAATGAGATAAGATTTGGAAGGATGGCCTCGCGAGACAACCCGACTCTATTGAACTAGTTTACGGTTGAAGTTGTCAGGCATGGACATACATACATCACCACAGTAAATCAAATCACATCAATCTCTATTTAAAGTGCATTTTAAATCACAACATATTTTACAGTGAAACAAAATTGAAGGAGATAAAAGAGAAAACAGTACAGAGAATCCACAATTGAATCATACTGTACTTGACACACAGTGTGATCAGATCAAACGTATGCTCCCTCTACATAAAGAGAGAGAGAAAGGGAGAGCGAGAGAAAGGGAGAGAGCGAAGGAGAGAGAGAAAGGGAGAGAGAGAAAGAGAAAGGGAGAGAGCGAAGGAGAGCGAGAAAGGGAGAGAGAGAGAGAAAGGGAGAGAGAGAGAGAGAAGGGAGAGAGAGAGAGAGAAGGAGAGAGAGAGAGAAGGAGAGAGAGAGAAAGGGAGAGAGCGAAGGAGAGAGAGAGAAAGGGAGAGAGCGAAGGAGAGAGAGAGAAAGGGAGAGAGCGAAAGGGAGAGAGAGAGAGAAAGGGAGAGAGCGAAGGAGAGAGAGAGAAAGGGAGAGAGCGAAGGAGAGAGAGAGAAAGGGAGAGAGCGAAAGGGAGAGAGCAGGCGCACACAGTGCCGTGGTTCCAAAACTTTTCACGCGTCTCTTGGGTTGGTTTGGATGGGATGGACTGGCTGCGGTCCATTTGGCATGCAGTGTCCCAGCACACTCTGGAGGAGGTTGGACACACAGACAGACCTTTATGAAGTGAGTCAGCACAAAAAGTCCCAGAGCGACTCTTTTTGTCCAATAGGTGCACAACAGGGGAGAGAAAGGGAGCAAAAGGGAGAAGGGAAATTGGGCTGTTTTTGACACACAGACTCATGGGGGAAATGTTTCGCGTAGATGTGAATTGGGTCGAAGCCGGTGATGAGTTTCCTTGAGGGCGTGTATCAGGATGTTATGAAGTAGGATTTACTGAAAGGACATCTACAGAAGGAGAGCGGTTTGGAGTTTTTTTGTGAGCCTTACAATGGCCGATGTTTACAGCCCCATCCAGGTTGTTGTGTTTTTGCTTTGATGTTCCCTAATCTCAGCCCACCTTGATATCTGATCCCAGCTTTGCTAACTCAAAGGTAAAGAGCTTTAAATAGCCGACCTTGTGAAGCACATTCAGGAATGCAGGCCATTACTCAGCCCCAGCTCCAGCACAACTAGATCCCCCCCATCCCACTGTAGTTTTATTGTGCGTTTAACACCGGTTGCATATTTCCTCAGAGTTTTAATGGTTAAAAAGGGCACTCAGGTGATGTCGTTTTCTAGGATTCTTTTCTATTCTCTTGAAACAACATGGGATGCTTCACCCTATAGTCCTTTCTAACTAAATAGTTAAGAGGAGTACATTATATAATTTGTTATTTCTGTGAAGAACCGCCCAATGAGGCATATAATATGATTCGAATGGGGCAGGGCGCCCAATTGAAATGCAAGTGACCGTAATAGATTGAACTTCTCTCGTCTTGGACCGGGATCTCGGTTGCAAGTGCCGCGGTCTCGTGATTGATGGCCAATCGATGGCAGCTGTAAATCTAAAAGCGGCCCGTCAGCTAAGCCCGTCAATCTTTGCAGGGAGGGGGGGTTGCCAGAATCAGATTAACCAGCCTCCTCCAAATCAGTCTGCGGTCACTGTAACCCCCATCTGGCAACCCTTACAAAGTCAGGAAACCCCCAGCCGGTGGTCTCGCAGGCAAATAAATCAAAACCAAAACACAAAGGCCATCATTGCCAAGTCAACATAATGTAATGGCCAAATAACTCATTTTTTTAAAGGATTAGATCAATCGTGGAATCAGATGCTTCCATCACTGAGACAAGGGGCTACTCTACAGGGTCTCCTGTCAGGGGTCATGTTGTATTTGGTCACATAGGCTGGAGCTGAATGGTCACTCAGGCCAATGTGTTCTCCGTCCCTCTTCCCCCCTCTCTCTCACTGATCTGTAAACATGAAAACTGGCTGCTGCAACACAATATGGGGGCAATTTTTGTCGTTGGTGTCAGACAGCTTGGGTTTCTCCAGTCAAGAAGAGGGGGAATGACACCGCTCCCCAAAGGTCTATTTCGGAGCGACGGAGGATTGTCACGTAGTGAAACGAGAACTGAGGGGTTCTCCCCCTCGGAGACGCTAGCTCCTCATACCCCAGAATCCCCTTGTCACTTGAATTCCCAAGGCATGTGACTAGGGACTTAGTCTCCATTCCCGTCTGGGATTTGGGAGGTGGAGTTTGGTTTTATTTGAAGAGAAGAGGGTTAAAGCTACTGTGGTGTGATACTGTTGTGATGTAAGATATGCTTGTGGCAGCTATTTATACTTATATAGTACAGTTTATCAGACCTGGGCTCATATGAATCTATCTTGTTGAATGCTATATTGGCTAGCTGCTCAACTAAAACCACCCAGCTCAACAAGACCCTTCGCTGGGCCTGCCTCTTGGACAGTAATTACGCATATCCAAACATGGCACATACAGTATCAGACATTTACCTGATTTTCCCGTCATATGTTGTTACTTGAGTTTAGACAGTTGGAAATGTGACTGGGAGACAGATGGAAATAGATGGACGATTTGAAAGTGTCAGATTGGGGATTTAGGCATGGGTGGTGCGAAGTTGGCTGTGTTGATTACCAGGTCAAACTTCAGCACAAACATTTAGCCTACCTGCCTCCAAGACAGTCACATATTTCCCCCTCTCTCCTGTTATTCACTGATATAATGAAAATCGAGATGGAGATGGATGGAAATGTGCTGTTGCTCTAGAGAGGGCTGGCTCAGAGATATGGCAGAGGTCAGAGTTCAGACTCGGTTTCCTGTGGGGTTGGCATGTGGCCGCGGGATCATAAGAGGGGTGCTGAGCGTGGAGTAAATAGCAGGATGGCATTCCCGGGGCAGGAATGACTACAGTGAACAAGGGAACTTTCCCGCCTCGTCACAGACGACAGCGTGGGGACCTTCTCTGGTAATTCTCCAGGGATTTCCCCCCCCCCCCTCCAGTCAGAGGAAGTCTGAGCAGAACGGTACCTCTGTTCTGTTTTCCTCTATGGATTTCTGGTTGGGTAGCTGAATGGGAATCTTGGCAAGAGAGCACCAGTTAACCAATAAACATTACAAGTCCGTCATTATCATTTAGTTACCGTCCTTCTGTGATTTACCTGATTTCTTAGAACTGCAGTTATGACCAAGACCTCAATTATTGATCAATGACTGTGCTGTGTAGCCTACTGTATTGTCCCACTGCAACAGTGATTTGATATGGCAAAAAAATATAGAAACTGGATCAAATATGTGTGGGATGATGAATTCATATACGTCAACTGTTTCCCTCCTCTATTCCTTGTCTACAGCTGTTATATGAGTGGAATACAGAGACAGTTAGATAGAAGATTGTTAAAAGTAGAGTAGGGCAGTCAGCCTGACAGACAGACAGTGGAGGAAGCATTAAGCCAGAGGAGGTAGGAAGGAACCTCATCCCTCCAGACAGAGGGGATCAGAGAGCCGTCCTCGTTAAGAAGGGAGGAAAACCCTTCTCAGCCAGCACTCGTCTGTGAATAATGTATGAGAGGGCAGACAGGCGGGCGTCGGCCTGGCATGACCGTAGTTGTGGGTATTCGTGTTAGAGCAACCCCACGGATGGTCTGGTCTTCCCCCAAGAAGCACTACAGTAGTAGTTTGCGTTACTAGTGCAACAGAGACACTGGGTGGTCATCTGAGGAACTGCAACAATACTTCAATTAGTTATAAAATATATATTGTAATTTGTGAGTGTTTAATTTAATTTATTAAAAGCAAGTTAGTTAACATATAAGTTATGAATATGTGGTCCCTTCAGGAATCAAACCCAGAACGCTGGTGTTGCAAACAACAACCAATTGGTTGATTGGTAATTACGTAAGAGGGAAAAGTATGTTTATATGCCACTAACTGCATAGATACACTATATATACAAAAGTATGTGGACACCCGTTCAAATTAGTGGATTCAGCTATTTCAGCCACACCCATTGCTGACAGGTGTATAAAATCGAGCACACCGCCATGCAATCTCCATAGACAAACATTGGCAGTAGAATGGTGTCGTGGACGTGCCATTCATTATTGTGATTACTATTATTTATCGAATAATTACCTACTATGTTTAATTGTTACTAGATTAAATTAATCATGTAACAATTAACTCATTAGGAATTTGGGGCACCACAGGAAAAGTTGTTTAACGAGTTACCGTTTCCCGAATTAACTCTAAAGATATCTAGATATCTCTTATCATTTAACAGTCATTTATTAATAATTTACCTCATATCAGTCTCATTCTGAAAGTCGTAGGCTCTTTAAGTCTGCATGAACCCGGGTCATACTGATCATTCCGTACCACACAAATGTATTTAATTATTTATTTACTAACTAATTAATTAAAAATGATAACACAAGATACAAACACGTACACGGTATAGGTAGGGATTAGAAACTTAATGCAATGAAAACGGGTCCCTAGCGGACTAACACAATATGACACTTGTTACAAAAGATGGCAAGTTAAAGAGAGAGAGAGAAAACACTTGGATACACATGGACCCTAATATTGTGCCCAGAACTGCCGCCCGTTTGGTAAGAAGTAATGCATGTATTTAAGTGTTTGTC